ACCACAGTCCCACTGACTCCTCCCCCCATGCTTAACCTGTCGTTTGCACTCTCCCCCTATAACTACCACCAAAAATGGTCCTTCATGGTCTGCGACTCACACATTAGAATATCTGAGCTAAAAGTGTTATCCTAGGGGCATGTGAAAGCGATGTCAGGGTGTTTGAGATTTCACAATGACTTGGGGGTGCTATTCGCCTTTAGCAGAGTGAGTAGTCCCACACAACAATAATTGACCCACCCGAGATGGCAATAGCAGCCTCACTGAAAACCAATTTACATTACTTTTTCTGAGAGGGGAAACCGAGGCCCAGAGGGACAGGAATTAGCCAAAGTCACTTAGCTAGCCAGAGATAAAACTGTAGGTGGAACACGGGCCTCCATCTCCTAGCCAGGCCTGTGGACTGCTCCAGTGACTGTCGGAACCAGAAGCTCTTATCAAAGTGTCAGCACCTGAAAAGGGGGAAGCCCATTATAATGGGGGTTTTCGAAAGGTCAGAGGCACACCAGGGCAGAGTCCTGGCAGACTGCTGGGATAGGCAACAGGCTTCCCAGGCCACAGAGCCCTGAAAGAGAGGACCCTGGCTGCATTATCCAGACCCTAACGCCCCTGGCAGGCCACCCCGCACACCAGCTACATCAATCCTCTGCAGGGGCACCTGTGTTGCCGTGGTAACAGGCACCCACTTCCCTGTCTTCAGTCCATGATTCTGGCCTGGCCACCTGTCCCCAGACTTTCTGTGCCACCCTCCCGTGGGTCCCAGGGGGGCCTCTTCCTGCATTATTCTGTCCTCTCCAGCATGTGCCTGAGGGCTCAACACCCTCATTAGTTCCAGGCGACAGCTGCCTGCCTCCCCCAGGAGCTGGTAACATCTGTCTTCCATTCCCCTCATACTCAGTATCTGTAGCCAGAACCTCATCCCCTGACAGGGCTGGGTTCCCTGAGGGAAGCCCCCTCTTATTACCGTGTCCCACATCTCAGACCCTGATTTCCAAGGTTTCAGCAGGTCTCAGTCAGTAAACTCCAGCCAGTGTATACTCGGTTTGACCCTGCTCACGTGGAGCGGGGATCCAGCGACCCCAGTGTGGTTTCTGCCCACCTGTCTGTCCCCAGGGATCTCAAGTTCAGTGGGGAGGAAAAGAGCTGAAGTTCATAGTGACTTATGGCCAAGTCTCTAACATAAATTTTTGTGTCTCAAACTGGATTGTGGTACAATAGTGGGTTGTGAAATCAATTTAGTGGGTCACAACCAGCATTTTTATACAAAATGAATAGCAGAACATTAGAATAGAAGAAATAAAAATATTATAGCTGTGATTAAGATAAATTTTGCCTTGTGAAATTGTATTCAGTTACATGTGGTATGTGTGTAAGTGTAGGTACTGGATTGGGATATAAAATGTATGTTACTGTAGTTCAAGGGCACCAAGAGATGGGAAGACATCGAGGAAGTGATTTGCAAAAAAAAAAAAAGAAAGAAAGAAAGAAAGGATTGCTTTATACCTAGGGTGTTGGGAAGGCTCCATGGAGGAGGGGGCATTTGAGCTGGGGTTTAAGAGATAGGTAGGAGTTTGTCAGTGAGCCATGGAGAGAGTGTTTCAAGGCGAGGAATCAGCATGAGGAAAGGTGTAGAGTTGGGGGCTGTACCAGGCCTGTTAGTGCAAATGTCATAGAGGGGCTGCTGTGTAGAGTGGGGAAATGGGTAGGAAAGTGAGCCTGGGGAAACTTTGCTTTGGATATCACACCAGGAAACTTGCACTTTATTTCCGAGAGCAATAAGAAGCCACTGATGCTTGTAAGCGGGAACTGGCATGGTCAACTCTGGGCTTTAGATGACTCTGGCAATCAGGGTAGAGGATGGAGAGAGTGGAGGAGGCAAGCAGAGAAGCAGGGAGGCAAGACAGAAGCCTGTTGTGCCCATGCAGGCCAGAGCACTAAAGAGGGGCAGGAGGGGGGTGGATTACCGGAAAAATGAGGAAACGCAATCCATGAGACTTAGGGCCTCCTGGGCATTGATACGAGGAAAAGGAAAGGTCTCAGGTTTGCAGTATGACTGTCCTGACCCTGCTCCCATCCACAAGCCCACTCCATGGTCAGTGCCTCCACGAGACACCATAATCAGGAAACAAACATCTTTTTTTTTTTTTAAATTATTGTTGTACTTTAAGTGAAAGTTTACAATTGAAGTTAGTCTCTCATACAAAAATTTATACATACATTGTTATGCAACCCTAACTGCTCTCCCTATGCTGTGACAGTACACTCCTGCTTTCCACCCCGATTTCCTGTGTCCATTCAACCAGCTCCTGACTTTCTCTGCCTTCTCATCTCACCTCCGGACAGGAGCTGCCCATTGAGTTTCGTGTATCTACTAGGAAACAAACATCTTTTTATTCACTGGGTTTGGGAACAGGTGATAGGTGTTTATTTAAAAAGACTCCCTCCATTCTGAGGCCCAGTCCTCAGGGAGCCCCCAGACTGATCAGAGAGACCAGACTCACACACCTGTACAGCTCAGGCCAGGTGAGGAGCAGGGACTGGAGTGTGGGGCTCTGGGGAAAGAGATCAGTGGGGTAGGAGCAATCAAGGAAGCCTTCCTGAAGGAAGGGCCCTAGAGCTGAACGGCAGGCAAGCTGGATAACATTTATAAACACGTTCTCAGAAGATAAATTTTTCTGCCCTCTGAATCACAGCCAAGATCAGGATCTGTCTCTTGTCACACAAACCTGTTCAAAGGACTTCCAAACCCCAATCAGGAAGGGACTATTCATTTAACAAAAGGACCTGCCCTCTCCAAGATACCTTTACAGTATCCCTTTTGCTTCACCCCACACTCTCCCCATCAGTTCAGTGATATCATCACTCTCCCCGTTAGTTCAGTGACATCACTGACCATCCCATGTTAAGGCAGCATCTCCCTTTTGGGAGCATGAATGTTGGTGAGGAAAGTTGATCCTATTTATCAAATTAACTTAACATGCAACCTTTCAAGAATAAAACACCCCGAGGGGGGGAAAGCCCAGCTGGGGAATTGGGGGCCAAGATCAGGGGACAGGAGCCAGTCTCCTCACACTGGGGATCAGGGTCAGCAGTAGACAAGGCATTCTCCTGACAGACTTCTGCCAGCAGCCAGAGGGAGCCTTGGCACTGACGGTCCAGGAGGCAGGAACAGGCTGCTAACAACCCTGAGTCTGAAAAATCTGTGCACTCCAGAGCACCAAATTAAAAAACAATTAAGCTAATAGAATCTCCCCGTTGTTTTTGCTCTTTGGCAAGTGCTCCTTAATAATTCCTTTGCTTTTAACTCACTGTCGGCTCAACAAAAGTAGGTTTTCTAAGTAACTTAATTATTTCAGAACTCACTGCTTCCAAAAACAATCTAAGGTCCCCCCCTCCAACTCTGTGACTCTGTGCTCTGCTATTTATTTTATGTGAATCAGTGAGCTATTTATTTTAATTAGCTTTGTATTGTATATCTAACATAAGCCAAAAAGAAAAATCCACAAACAACTGCCCATTAGCCAGAGAGCAGAACCCTGGTACAAATCACCCCAAAGGATGGATTGTTCAGAATTTGTAATCAAGTGGGGGAGGTAAGATAATGGTAATCCGGCAGTGGGGGGTCTCAGGTGGGAGGAGTTCATCCTGGTTGGAGGTTGAAGGGGGCTACCTGGGTGGGGGAGGTAGCTTAGGAACTGGATCTTGACAGTCAGCTAGGATTTGGAGAAAGGCAGGTATGAGCAGTGTGTGACTTTCATATGTTCCTCTTTGATAAAACCTGTATTTTTGTACATCAGACATTGATGCTCTGAAATGTCTTTTCACACATCACATTCCAACTTTACCATGGAGGCTGGTCCATGAGCACTTAGAGGCACCACACAGAGGTCTCCCAGGCCGCCACAGCTCAAGCTCGGCAGCACAGCCCTGTTTCTCCAAATTTCCCTCATTCCTGGTCGCCGCTGTTCTATGGCTTGTTGTTTTTCATGGCCATCGAGCCAGCTCTGACTCATGGCAACTCCATGTATAACAGAACGAAATGTTGCCCAGTCCTGCACCATCTTCATGATCCTTGGTATGCTCGAGTCCATTGTTGCAGCCACTGTGTATTTTGAGTGCCTTCCAACCTAGGGGGCTCATCTTCCAGCACTGTATCAGACAGTATTCTGTTGTGAGCCATAAGGTTTTCATTGGCTAATTTCCGGACGTACATCACCAGGCCTTTCTTCCTAGTCTGTCTTAGTCTGGAAGCTCTGCTGAAACCTGTCTACCATGAGTGACCCTGCTGGTATTTGAAATACCGGTGGCATAGCCTCCAGCATCACAGCAACATGTAAGCCACGGCAGTACTGCAAACTGAAGCCAGATCTTCTGGCTTTGAATCCCAGCTCTGCCTCTTGCGGGCCTTGTATCCTTGACAAGTAGCTGAATCTCTTTTTGCCTCAGATTCCTCCTCTGTAAAATGGGGTTAATATTAGTACATACAGCATAGAGTTGTTGTGAGGATTGAAAGGACAAGTGTATATAAAGCAGTTGGAAGAGGACCTGGCCTTACATGGTAAGCACCTACTATGTAAACAGTAGCTATTATTATTATTAAAATTAAAGTGCTGTTATTGATGAAAGACGTACAGGTCTCATACATATGAAATGATTGGGATAAGGATGGAAATCATTTAATTTGCTAAAAGCAGTGAATCTTCAGCCACAACCCAGTACTCGCAACTGGGTTTAATTTGGAAGCAAAGTAATAAAATTAAAGGAAATGTAAAATATGCTAGTCAAAGATTGTCTCTAAAATGAGTTTTTGCATGCTTTTAAGCTCCCATGTCTGGTGAGCCTTTCACGTGTCATTTATGTGAAAACTTTCAGACATTCATTGTGTTTCCTGGCCTGGGGAGGCTGAAGAGTATGAACCTTATCCTGTGGGCACCAGGGAGCCAGGGAATGTTCTTGAGGAAGGGAGTGACCTGACTCTTGGTGGTTGGCTTCTTTTGTAGGAAATGCCTACCGAGAGTGCTTAGAGAATGGGACATGGGCCTTGCGGATCAACTACTCACAGTGTGAGCCCATTTTGGATGATAAGGTGAGTGGTCCCTACCCACCTGGCCCTGGTCCTTGTACAGGTATTAGGAACTCAGGTGAAGCATGGAGGATCCCAAAGGTGGCAGAACCAGTCCTTGTGTCACATGCCCTCCCCCTGTGCCCTGCCCTGTGCTCAGTGAAACTGGTGGGGACAGACAAGGAGGACATGGAGTCCCACCTCCAGGAGAGCTCGGGCTGGTGGAGGACACATCCAAGGTGGCATGTGACATAAAAAGGGGAGTGACTGTGTAACCAGCACTCCCGAACATCTACCAGGCCGTGTGGTGCTCACCTTCCTTTCGTCTCGGGGCCTTAGTGTCCCCATCCAGCATTCTGATTCTATGACTCCACGTAGAGACAAGGGCGGCCCCAGAGGGACAGCCCCCACAGAGCTGGGCCCTGCTCAGACCTCACCACAGCTCTTGCGGGAGGCTGCCTGGAGGTGCCAGCCTCCTCCTCTTTGAAGCTGCACCTCATTCCTGGCCCAAAATGATAATTCTCAGCTTTATCCCCTGCCTCATTCCCCAAATGAAGCACTCAGTTGAGCTGGAAGTTTTCCCCAAATGAAACCCAGGTTCAGAGGGGAAAGCACTTGTCTCTGCCGAGAGGGCATTTCCATGAGAGTGGCAGGCAGAATGGGTCATAAAGGTTTGGAGGGAAAGAGCTTCCCTCTATCCCTCTGTCCTCACCTCTTAATTTTTACAGCACCCTGAGTGGTGTCAAACCAAAGTAGGAGTGGGTGGTGTGGGGAGGTGGTCTGCCCTGGCAGGAAGGAGTATTTTATCACTGACTATTTAGAATTGCCAGCACATGGCGATAATAAAAAGCAGACTGACTTATTCAGTTTTAATATTATTCTTTTTTTCTGGAGTTCCTTGTTGGTGCAAAAGGTTGACATGGTTGGCTGCTAATCGAAAGGTTGGAGGTTCAAGTCCCCCCAGAGGCTGGCAATCTACTTCCAAAAAATCAGCTAGCAAAAACCCTATGGAGCACAGTTCTACTCTGACACACGTGGGGCCACCATGAGTCGGAGTCGACTCCAGGGCAACTAGTAGTAGTAATATCTTAGACGATGCACCCCTCCCCTCATTGCTGCATCCAGGGCAGACCAAGCCCGATTTACCCTTAAGCCACTGCTTCTGAGACAAGAGGGCAGGCAGTGCAGAGATGGTTGGCCCCATTGGACAGATGTCAAAACTGAGGCCTAGAGATCAACTCACCATCAGTCGCTCAGCTAGCTGGAGTCTGTGCTGAGACTAAACCTAGGTGTGGCACCTCCCAGTCCAGAATTTAAAAGAAAGCAAAATCTATACACGCATCCCTCTGGTGTATCTCAGAATAGGCTGTGCCCAAATGTGCCTCTCAAATTGCATGTTTGGGGACCTGACCACGGCCCTTTCTAACATGAGGCGCCCAGGGCCAGCAGGAGCCACTTCTGACCCCCAAGGTCAGGACACACAGTGGGGGTCATCGGTTAGAATGTAGCCCCACACCCCCCATGCCACATGCCTCCATCAGCCCCTGTGTCTGTCGGTCTGTCTGTTCAGCAGAAGAAGTACGACCTGCACTACCGCATCGCCCTCGTTGTTAACTATCTGGGCCACTGCATTTCCCTGGCTGCCCTCGTGGCTGCCTTCCTGCTCTTCCTGACCCTGCGGTGAGTACACCTCTCGCCTCCCTGCTTCTCTCCCGTCCCTCCTCCCACAGCTCCCGCTTTGCCTCTCCCAGTCTTTCCTCCACTGTGGGGCCTTGTAGCCAGTGGACAAAGGGGCTGGGCTCAGTGCCAGGGCACTGACCACTAGAGGTATGTGGATGCAGAGGGGGAGCTGGGCACTGAGAGGCCCAGCCGTGGCCCTCACCTCAGGCGAAGTCACTCCCTTGGCCTTGGGGAGAGCCCAGTCTCAGCTGACCCTGACCTGGCTGACCCCTGACCTGGGCCTCCCACAGGAGCATCCGCTGTCTGCGGAACGCGATTCACTGGAATCTCATCACCACATTTATCCTGCGAAACGTCATGTGGTTCCTGCTGCAGCTCATCGACCACGAAGTGCACGAGAGTAACGAGGTCGCTGGGCGGAGAGCCGGGGCTGGGCCTGGGGGGCTCCGGGCTCAGGGGGTGGGGGGCGCCCACCTCTCTGCCTAGTCCTGAGGTGCACAACCAGACCTGAGGTCATCTCCACTCCAGTCATTGTCCCATCAGAGCCAGAGGTAGGGGAGCTCCCAGGCCAGGGTCTTGGGAGCAGCGCAAACCTGACACCAGATGTTGGTTTATCTCCATCCCACTCCTCATTTGTTAGTTCAGGTCCTTCCCAAGAACCTTCCATTTTAGAATACAGGAGGCTGGAACTAAACTCCACTGAGCTTTATGTCACTCAATCCCAGCAAGAGACCCACAGGAATTATTTTCCCGATTATACAGACATGGAAACTGAGGCTAGGAGTAACCTATCAAGGTCACCTAACCTGTGATGATGCCTCTCCATGGGTTGTAGGATCTTGAGCACATGTTATCTGTCTACCCTGGATTTGTGTCAACTGCTGCTGCTCTGTGTCCATGTCATTGTACAGCTGTAAATAGACTGGGGCCAGGCACAGAGCTCTTTGACACACCTTTAGAGACTCCTCAGTTCATGATCTTTGGATGACCTGTACCTTAGACTGAGCAGGCACCCAACCCTGACCTTACGTTTGGCCCCAAGCTGAGCCCTGCCCAAATACCCAACCAAGCCCCATCCAATTCTGAGTGTGCTCCAGGCCAATCTTGGCTGTACTGCTAGGATGTCACTTAACTCAGAGAAAAAGCAGGGTTAGGAGGAGGGGATCTTTGACTTTCCCCCTCAGCAGGACCTTCTCAGAACAGAGGAGGCAGACAGCTATGCTGAGACCATGGGGAAAAGCCCCAGAGGCAGCTACAGCTCAGCACGGGAGGACTGTCTGACGGCCGAGGTTGGCAGAGTGGACAGAAAGCGGGGGCACTGTCCACAGGGCCAGTGAGCCCCCATCACAGGGCTCCTGTGGCCCCGAGCTGGCTCCTGCACTCCCCACATCCCGGACTCCTGGGCTCTGTGGGTGCTCTGGGACAAGCCTGTAAGAAAGGATCAGATGGAGTCAGTTGGGAAGAGCCCTGGAGAGCTGGACTCTGGCTCACAGTGTAACTCAGGGCAAGCACTTCCCCTCCCCACTCTGCATCTCCCCTCTATAACACAGGCTGTTTAATCCCACTCCGAGGGACAGGGACCGATTCTCCTCTGCTGCTGAGGCTAAGAATAACTGCAACTACAGCAACAACTCACTTCATTGGTGCCTGCCTCTGCCCTCCTTCAGCTCATTTATTTGTCCTATATGGCGGCATTACCGTTTCCCATGGTACCATGAGGCTCAGAGAGGGAAAGTGTCTGGCCAGAGGCCCTGGAGTTAGCGGATCTCCTCCAGAGCCAGCGGTGATCCCACTACCTCCAGAATTTCCCACCCCAGAGTCCTTGGAGAGCCTCCCCCATGCCTGCAGCCCCACCTTCACATATCCTGGACTACTGTTTACTTAGCAATTTCCTTGTAATTGACTCACTTTTTTTCTAAATGCAATTTCATATCCATCCCTAAGTGGAGACCAGCATCACTTGCTGCAGATGGGAAGTTACCCTCATAAAGATTACAGTGGAAACACAGCAATGTGATCCAATTCTAGCCTCTGCCTGCAGATAGCTCAGAGCCAGAGACACCCTCGTTCTTCATGGAGAGGGGGAATTAGAAAGGGTTGGGGAGAGGTTAAAGACACCCTGTGCTAGTGGAGACTGGCTCCGTGACTCAGACAGAAGGTTGAAGGAGAATGAGAAAGAATGATCCTTCTCAGGAGGAGATCTGATGGGATTTAATGCCAGGTCCATGAATGACTGAAATGGCCGCCCTTTCTGCCCATGTCCATGCCCCACACTTGGGAAGCCCTGTGCCTTGCTCCTTCCCGAGTGGGAATGGCCTCACCCTGTCCCCACTGACAGCCCTGCCTGGCCGCAGGTCTGGTGTCGCTGCATCACCACTATCTTCAACTACTTCGTGGTGACCAACTTCTTCTGGATGTTCGTGGAGGGCTGCTACCTGCACACGGCCATCGTTATGACCTACTCCACCGAGCACCTGCACAAGTGGCTCTTCCTCTTCATCGGATGGTGTGAGGGTCCCTGGAGGGCTGGCAGGGGCCTGGCGGGGAGGCGACACT